GCATTTACATTCAGACAGAAGAAATAGACTTGATGTAAGTAACTCAATTGAATATAATATATTGTTATTGTTTGTTACTGACTAATTTTATTAATATTTATTTAGCATAACAAGGTGTTATCAATGGGTCAATTAAGGGATGACATGAATTATAGAAGAAAAAAGACTGAGATTGATGAATCACAAAAAAAATTCCATTCCAAAAATTATGTTGCTCCAGTTGAGGAATCAGAAATACAAGAAAGTGAAATAAGCAATGAATCTTTTATATGAGACATTGAAAATGAGGTTCAATGGAATGCAGTGATGGGTCGGTGGATGGAAATGCTGAATGATGAGGTATTAGAAGAGGAAGAAGAAGAAGAATTAAATGAATTAGTAGGTCCAATAGGGTCAATTGAAAGAATCAAAAGGACTAGACACCCAGCTATTAATAGACAGAAAGGAAAATGTGAAATAGAAGAAATTTTTGAATATAATTTAGATGATCCTTCTTTTTATCAAGAATTATAAAATATATAATTTCTTTGTTATAATTTTTAAAAAATATTGTTAATAATAATAAAATTTTATCTGTCATCATTAATTTAAATGCTGAAATATAATTGGCTACCCCTTAGAATTGGTCCAAAGTCCAATAGATTTATTGGATTGGACTTATTGGATTGGACTGCTTGGACTGGTCCAATAAGTTCAGTCCTATAAGTCCAATTGCCAACACTGCAAATAATTGTTTAAACCCTTTCATTATTTTTTATCACTAGTAAGTTTATTTATTTTATTTTTGAATTGGCTTTTTCTTGGTTCTATTTTATCAACTATTTGATCAATTTTTTGATTTATAATAGAGAGTTGATTTTTGTAAGTTTTATTGTGAAATAAGAAACCAAGCAAGAGCCAAATTAACAACCCACAAAAAAGTTCACAATTGAAAGTAAGCATTTTTTTTAAAAATGTTATTATGGATGTAAATATTGCGTAAATATTTATTGATTATTTGTTTTTTTTTTAATGGTGATTATTAGAGGGATTTGTAATTTACCTGAAAACTAAATGAATTGGTAATGTTTTTATAATGTTCCAATACAAGGTGGGATTATTTACCTTGTTTCAATGTCAATGAGGGAAAAACAAAGATTTTAAAACATATCCTTGAATGTAAAATTTGTTCAAACCAAAACGGTTTTTTATTGATAATAATAAGCACATTCACATAAATGAGAATTTTCTTTATAGTAATAATTAGTAAAAAAAATAGATCAATATTGTAATAAAATAATAGGATTATTTTTCTTCTAAGGATTTCCTTTTTTTTTGTTGGGTAATAGTATATCTTCATTCTGCTTTCTTTTCCCAACATTTATTATTTTTCTTTCTTATTGGTAAATTTCATAAGTAATATTTTCTTTCCTTAAATAAGCTTCTAGTGTTTGTTATTTTGAAAATATAGGAGCAATTTTTTCACCTTGTTCTTTCTTCAAAATACTTCTAATGGTACCATAATTATTGGGTTCCATGGTAGATCTGATGTAAATTAATTTCATATTAACTATTTTTGCCTAGACAAATATCATGATTGTAATACAATTGTGATGTTAAACAAACACTATTGATCCCTGAAATCATTGGTAATACCAATGTTCACTTTGTCTGGTTTTGTTGCAGCATGCCCCATTTTAGAGTAACTAGATGATGAAAAAATTCAACTATATATAGATAATAAAAACAATGAGATGCAAAAAATTAGAAGAGAATAAACAAAAGAAAAGAAAAAAAAGAGAAGAGCAAGCAAGAAAGCAATCAGTGATCAGGGAACAATCTTGTTAAACTAAAGCAGCAATTAAGACATTTAAATGAAAATAAGGAAAATATGAAAAATGTTATCCAGAAACTTCAGAATAAAGCTAACCAACTGTTCAAAGAAAAGTGAAGGAAGAGTGAGCTCAGCATTGAGTTATACTTTTACAACTACTGATATCACGCAGCCGATCTGTATTTAGAAAGATTTACATAATTATCTCATCCATTGTAAGGACCCTGAATACGCCACACTTGTATTAGATGAACTGCGGACGAAGACCTGAAAACTATATTTGGCCCACACTATGATTGGCTGATTAGAGACAATTTTCCAAATTTGGCAAATAGTAACTTTTAACCCAGTTGCGGCGGTAAGAACCTTTCTATATGGTTTTCGGGCCCCAATTAATCGTCTAAATATGGTAATTTATATGAACGATCGTATTCAGATCATTTGTTGCATTCTGCGGCGCAATGTGCGGGGAGCGTGTGCTAACCAAATTTGTATAGATGACGCAGACAGGTTTCTATATTTCTAATATTTCTATATCTGATTTTATAATACACATGTATTTTTCTATAATTAAAAAAAATTAAAAAATATAAATTGTGCGATATTTTTAATTAATTAGAAAATAAACTAAAATAAACTCATACATGACTAAAAAAAATAAAAACAATGAATGACTAATTAAATTTTTTTAAAAAAATTACTTTATATTACTTTACATTACATGATAGAGAAAGATAAAAATAAAGAAACAGTTAATTGAATTTTTACAAATTCTCGTTTTCCAAATTTACATTCTGAATACATAAGATAATTGTAAATACACACAAATCACAATTTTTTCTATACTAATAATAAATAATAACAATAATAATAATAATAAAAATAAAAAAATAAAACATAATTAAAAAGAAAGAGAATAAAAAATGCGATCCTATACAATACTTATTGGAAAATTTATGCCACTGCTTGTGTTGGCAATTTTTGGATACACTTTTTATGTTTTTATATTTAGAATATGTGGTAAATTTTCAAAGTTATTACCATGATTAAAATTATTTTGTTCATTTAATTAATTAATTTGATTTTTTCTTTTTTACACGTAATATTTTATAGTTGATTCATTACTTGGAAAAATGAAAGTTGTTCAAGCTGGTAAAATTTTAATTAATTGATTGTATTATAATCAAATCTTTATTTGCTAATCGAATCTTCTATTCCATTCATTCATTCATTCATTCATTGTTTAGTTATATATTTGGTAATGTTTAATATATTATTTATAATGGCCTTATCCTCGTATATTAGAGTGATAAATAAAAATCCAGGAACACCAAAGGTAAAAATAATAAATTTTTTAATTTATCAAAGAAAGAAAGAAGGATCAAGAAAGAAAAAGAAAAAGTGAGATATATATGTATATATAACTAATGGTTCCACGAAATTTTTTTTTTAGTTGCCACAATCGTTAACAAAAACTCAGTTACGACAACAACAAGAAGTTATTAATTCATCATCAACATCAACGTCATCTCATCCTCAATCATTAATACAACAACAACATCAATTACAATCATCGATTTATAAACCAAATCCAACATTAAAAACATTTTTACAAGAGCAAGAGCAAGAGCAAGAGCCACAACAACAACAAATATTAAATAAAAAAAAATCATCAACTAATAATAATAATCTTGCACCAACTTCATTACCGTTACCAACATCATATAATTATAATTTTAATCCTATAACAAATCCAAATAATTCTTCAAATGCTGATGCTTTACTATTACCAATGGAAAATGCTTTATTAAAACCAAAATCAAAAAGATCAACATCTTCACATTTATCACAAAATTTAATGCCACCTAACACTGTTAATACCAAAGCTCCAATTACCACAGCTACTACATCAATATCGATAACGCCTTCAATAACTTCTAAAGACAATAACAACAACCCCGGTATTATTAATAGTATTAACCTATCATTACCAATACACACTGACAATATTTATGTTCGTAAAAGAGATGGAAGACTAAGACGGTGTGATAGATGTAACGATGTGAAACCTGATAGATGTCATCATTGCTCAGAATGTGACAAATGTATACTAAGAATGGATCAGTAAGTAAATATTTATTATTGGAAGGAATTTATGAATTATGAATTATGAATTGCAACTAATAATTATGTTTATATATTATATAATATTTATTATTAAACAGTCACTGTCCTTGGTAAGTAATTTATTTCCTTATACTTGAATTTAAATTAAAATTAATCAATCATTTTATTTATTGATTTAAATATTTGAAATTGATTTTTTTCCAAATATCTAAAGGATAAATGGATGTGTGGGTTTTCATAATTACAAATTCTTTTACCTGTTCATAGTATATACCTCATTATTTGCAGATTTTGTATTCGCAGCTACAATACCTATTGTTGTCGATGATTATCAAACAGTGGTAATAAATAATAAATAATGCTATAATTTGTTATATGTTATTAATTATTTTATTAATAATATCTTTATTATTATGCACAGGGAGGAATAGTAGACACCCAATGGATTGTTCTAACAATAATGTAAGTATTATTATTATTATTAAAATCTATCCGTATATCGATTATTATCAACATTCATACATGATAACAATAATTGATTAATTTTTATAGATCGTTCGTATTTGGAATATTATTAACAGGATTTACAGCAGTCCATACCAACCTATTAATTAATAATAAAACAACAATAGAAAATCTTTCATTTAAATCAAGAATTTATCATCTAAAAATATCGCTTAATATTGGTAATAGTGTCGTTGATGGTATTAATAGTAGCACTAGTAATTTTAGCAATAATAGCACAAATGAACGGATTTTTGTGAGTAGCAGACGCGGTGAAAATATATGGGACTTGGGATACTCGAGGAATTGGAAATCAGTGATGGGCGATAAATGGTGGCAATGGTTTTGTAAGTGGGATTTTTTAAATTTTTATTTATTGATTGATTGATTGATTGTAATAAATAATAACGATACTTATTTATTTATTAAAAGTACCCATTAATAATAAATCGGGAGGTGATGGATTATCATATCCACTTAATCCAATAATACATCAAAGATTAATTGATGAATCAAAGAAACAAAATACTAACAATAGCAATAGAAATAGCGATAGTAATAGTAATAATAGTAGGAATAAATTAGAAGATGATAAAGCAATTATTAATATTATTAATGCGAATCAAGATCAACAACGAACATTTTCAAATAATATTAATGGCGATTATTTGATTGGTGTTGGTAACAGTAATAATAATGATGATGATGATAATATAGGTGGTAGCAGTAGCAATAGCAATAGTAATGATATTAATAATATTAATAGCTATATTAGTAGTAATAGTGTTAATGATAATAATAAAATATAAAATTGCTATCAGCAAGTATCATTTTGAGTAAATAGAAAATGACATTTTCCTGCTACAAATAAATTATTCCACTTCCCCGCAAAGACCTTTCACAATTTGATGTAACCATTTCTAACCAATATTATATATATATATATATATATATAAATTATTATGTATAAACAAATGCACACGTAAATTGTCAAAATTTTGGACTATAACATAATAGTAATAATTAACAAATTTATCAAAAATAGATAAATAAATGATTGCAACATTTTACCGTATATTAATACTAATTAAATAATTATATTTGCGTACATAATATGAATAAAGTCAACTTTCTTGAATTAGATAAATTTTTGTTCTGTTTTAGTTTGCTTGCTCAGATCGCGTTTAAAATATTCCAATATCGATTTTCATTTATCATTTTAGAGCAATTCATTGACTGACATACATCATCATACATATAAACATACAAACAAACAAATGAACTAACATATGAACTAACATATGTGTATACAATATAATGAATACATTTATGATGGTGATAACATATAAATATTGAAATGAATGGGTTTACGAATTAAAAAAAAAAATTTTTAATTTCAAAAAAAAAAAAATACCTTGTAAAGGTCTAGAGTTGGTAAATTTTTCTTTATTTAAAAAATGTTGTAAGTGAAGAACAAAGAATGAAATGTGTGGTAGATATGTGTGTATGTGTGTGTGTGTGTGTGTATATATATATATATATATATATATATATATATAAAGTGTATAAAATGAACATTTTTTAATAAAAGACAAATTTATTTATAATTGAACAATTTTTTTTAAAAAAATTCGACATTCTGGTAAAATGATTACGTACATACAACGCAAATAAATGTAAGAAGGCGAAGGCGAGTTCAATTGGACGAAGATGTCTTTTTATATCGGTTTTGAGTTAATATTTATATTTTGATGTGCAATTTACATTTTTACTATCATGCTCATTATGCTCACTTGGCTGAATCCTTTACAAAAAAAAAAACAAAATTCTGATTTTCTACACACACACACTTTTTTTCTATATATATATATATATATATATATATGTATATGTTGAACTCGTCTTGACGTAATTTTGTTTGTGAACCTTTTTTGAGATGTTTTCACTCTTATAATACAAATTCAATCAATTTTATTTGATGAAATAAACTGTATATAATTCAAATTCTGATCCAAAGCATATGAAAAACACCAGATTATTATATATTTAGCATTCAAAACAAAACAAAAAAAAAATATTAATAAATTTACAAATAAATAAATAATAAATGAAAATGTCAAAAAAAAAAGTTTTTTGGATGTTTGTGTATGGGCTCAGTAATAACAATTATATAATAAAATAAAAACAAAGAACAATTTTAGATTTTTAAAAGATTGTTTGTATTATACAAAAATTTTTTTTTTTAAACGAAACACAAAAAAAATGTGGAAATAAATGGTAAGAGAAAAAAAGGAAAAAAAAAAAAAAAAAATCCATCCTCTCGTGTGTGTAAAACAATCAATTTAATTAATTGTAAATGGTTTTTTGTATTGCATACACACACACACACACACACCTAAAAAAAAAGTTGTGGGACGCCATGAAAAAAAATATATAAACAATATGGAATGAAGAATGAGGGTACAAAATGGATATAAGATATAGAAAGAAAGAAAGAAAGAATGTATTTGTTTGTTTGTGTGTGTGTATATGCGTGTGTTTTATAAGTCAATTAAAAAATATAATAAATGTGGTAATTGAAAAAATGGGTGAGTAAAAAAAAGTGAGCGCGCGTTTACTATTATTATGGTGATAACATTTTAGTAAAAAAATCGGAATATACAAATTCCAAATTCCCGTCCTGAGAATTTGTAATAGTAAATTAAAATCGATTGATCTACGAAATAGAAAAAAATAAATTAAAGTTTGTAAATCATCCATTCATAATAATCTAAAAATTTATTTTACCAGTTGTTTTTATTTATTAATTAATTAATTTAAAATATTTTACATCGCATATTATATATTGTTTCTTGAATAACACACACACACACACACTCTCTTGATTAATTAATCTTAATTGTTACCCACGTGCGATCAAATTTAGTAGATGGGATGGAATGAGAAAATGCATGTGTATGTGTGTATGTATGTGTGTAAGGATATATTAAATTATTGATTAGTTAATTTTTATCAAGTGAGTGACGCCAAAATAAAGGCGATGCTAATGGTTATTAATATTTAATAATTGCAAAGGGTTCATCAATATTGCTACGTTGTCGATCGTTTATTAAAGTATGTTTTTTGCTTTTTTGTCTTTGTTGTAATTATTTGTGATCAAGGATTACCACCATTCGTAATCGTTTATTACCATTATAATCATACTATTATAAATATTGTTAGGGATTGATTGGTTATTGTCTGTGAATTTCATATGATGCTGATGAATTTGATGGGTGGATGAATGAATGAACGAGTTAATATGACCAATTAAAGCTCAAATGACAGGTGAAGTAACACATCATTATATAAATATTTCAGTTTAGTAGAGTATGAATGATGTTATTTTTAAAAACATTAATTATGGATAAAGTGTTACATGTATCCCTGAAATATCAGGTTTATATGTATCCTTGGATCCCTCCACAAAAATGTCAAAAATTCACCTTCTTCATATATTAAAACGTAGATTGTAACGTCATTAAGCATAATTTTAATTTTATGACTCGATGATAATTGGTTTGTATTAGAAATAACATATGGAATAGCACCTGAAGAAATGATTGATTGCTAATATTAATAATGGTTAGTTGGTTAGTTTGAAATCGAATAATCAATCTTTAAATGAAGAAAAACAAAATTGTTTTTTATTTGTTTATATATATTATTCATTTAATTTATAATTAGGGTAATTTTATTATATATAAAAATTAATAATTATTTCACAAATTTAACTAATTAAAGAAAAATAATAGATTTACTGATCCACAATTATATAATAATAATAATGTGATAAAACCATCAAGCATGTTTATGAAATTCTAAAAAAATATTAAAGAATTTTCACATTTAGTTTAGATTGCTTAACAAAATAATGAATGAATGAATGATAAAATAATGATATAATATGTATATTTATACAATGGGATCTGCAATTTGATTTCTATAAACGAAAGTAGATTTACGAGATTTACAAATTATCACAATAGAAATTTGGTTATTTTATGTTCTACACAAAAAATAATTAAATGATAAAATAAAAAAACAAATTCTTATTATTTTACACGTGTAAATTTAACACAAAATTGACAGGCACTTTACAAGCAATGACCAATAATAACAAAAATATTATTTTATTAACAATATAAAAATTGTTTCATATTATTTTCGAAAAAAAGAAAACCCATTTTGAAAAATAAAAAAAAAAAAATGAAATTTTTGAAAAGATTAAAAAATATTTCCAACAATGTTTATTATTTTTATGATTGATGAATAATAATAAATCGAGCCAAAGATATTCGCTATTTATTTAATTTTTTCACTCTTTCATCATATTAATTTTATAATAAGACAATATAAAAAAAAAAACTTGATGACTATCACGAGCAAACATTAAAAAATAAAAATTTGTGATCCACGCGTAATATTTCATTATCATCACAAGTATTTATTTACTTTTTTATTATAGATAAAAAATATTTTGGGGTTTTTGTATTAGAGTTATTATGTTTATGTAGATTCTATATATAAAATAATCACACAATTGTTCACTCACTATATTATGAAGTAAAATTACGAGTACGTGATGGATAACGGATAGACAGACGGTTGATTGACATGGGGGATTTTTTTTTTTTTTTTAAATCAAATAAGTCCTGCCCGACCTCTAATAATGCTTCTTTTTTGACTTTTTTTTGGATATATTATTATCTTTTGTGTGCGAATAAATTTTTTTTAAAAAAATCTTAAATGAAATAAAATGCATATTCGCACATATATAATCAATAATGTGTGGATTGCTAAAAAAAGCAATATTTAATTAATTATATATATACAACGCGCACACGAGATAAAACAAAGTTTTTTTTTATTTTAATCTGTGAATTTTGATATTATTCGCATAATTCGCATAGAAAAAAAAACGATTGATTTTTTTTTTTTTTTTAATTAGAAATTACTTGCTTTTTACCTCCAAGACCAAAGCAAAAGGTTCGATGGATTCTTCCTCCGTCCATCATTTATAAAAAAAGTCTTCTGATAGAACATGTAGAGTGACAGTAGCGCGTGTACTTTTGTGTACAAGTTTGTGAAACGTTTTCTCATTAAATATCACATGCTCACTTGTTTGAAACCCTAAACTTTCTCATAATAATAGTTGGTGGTGGTACAACGTTTTGACCTGCTGACTTCACATGGATCCCCGAAAAATCTTTTTTTCTCAATGATCAATGATTTAAAATAAAATAAAGAAATCAATCAATAAGTTCTGCTTCTATTATAATTCATCAGCCAGACACACACAAATCATCATCTTGTTTATTTATTTATCCATCCCACATGTAAATTTCTATTGTAAATTAAATAATATAAATATTATTTATTATTTTTTATATATATATAAATTATATAAATAGATTTTGATTGATTGACAAATATTTTTTACTCATATGAATACGTGCACTTGTTGCATGTCTGCAACCAAAACAATTGCGCCTATTTCTCCTTTTTCCCAATTATTTTCACTCTCTTTTTTCTTCCTTTCCACCTCCGTCCGCTTATCATTCTCTCACTCTTTAAAAAAATTTTTTAAATAGGCCTTTATCAATTAAAATTCATACACTTTTTTTTTTTCGTAAAAAAAAATCTTCAAAACAATTTCCGTTCAACGAAATAAACAACATTAATTAATAATAATAATAATAGTTAATTAAAAAAAAATATTTGTTTTTCGCCCAAATCTTTTTCTCTTAATCTTTCTTGATTTTTTTTTTTTACTTTACTTTACTTGCTTAGTTGATTTTTTTTTCACGCCTTTCCCTTCTCACTAATATAATAAATAGTATATTAATATTAATATTGATATTAATATTATTGTTGTTCCAAAACATTTTTTCTCGACGGAAAAAAATTAATTGAATGATAAATTTTATATTATTTTGATATAAACAATATAAATAAAATTTAATTTATTTATATTGTAATTATATATAATAAAAAAATATATATATATATAACATATATATATATATTTACCTTATTTCTTTTATTTTTTTTTTTTTAATCCTTTTTTCAAATAAAAAAATTTTTTTCCAATATTATTTTTTTTTTAAAAAGAAGATTTTCTTCAAAAAAAATAATAACAACAATTATTAAATTAAAAAAATAAAATAATAATTAATAATAATTAATAAATAATATTAATAATAATAATTAAAAATAATTAATAAAAATGTATAATAATCAGCAACATTCCACAACCACAACCACTACCACAATATTACCACAACCTATTATTACTACAACAACCAACAACAGTAAAATGGATTTCTCGCATGTGAATGGTAGAACCACAAAGGATAACAACAATACCTCCGTAATGTCTATAAATCAATTATGTAATACAGACACTGATTATCCTGACGAAATAAAAGAAGCTGCTGCTGTCTTAGAAACAATGAAACAAAAACCTGTCGTCACATCAAGTATAGGTAAATTTTAATTTGTTTTTGTCTTACGGGTAATTTTTTATAAAAATAAATAAATAATTAATTATTTTCTTCTCTTATTTTAATTTTTTAATTTTAGAATCAACAGAATCAACGGAATCAACAACAACAGATTCCTCTTCACCTCCTTCACCTCTTGAACCATCACAAATATCATCTACCCAACCAACAGACGGTAGTTTCATGTCTAGAATAAACAATATAGGTCTTGTGCGAAAAACAATGAATGCTTACGAACAAGGCAAAGCAAATTCACCTTTTATAAAATACACAACAGAAATGGTCGAATCTTCAGTATCACTGATATCTAAACCTGTCATCGATAAAATACCACAATTAGCTCAGTTGGATCAATATGCTTGTAAAGGTTTAGATAAACTTGAAGAAATAATGGATAGTAATAATAATAATGATGAAACCGAAACTAATAACGAGAACAACAACAGAGACATTAATATTAATAATAATGTTAGTAATGGTATTAACGGTAATGATGAAAGTTCAGGGGAATCGCGTAAAAGAAGAGCGAGAGGTGATAGTAGTAGTGACCATCCACGTAGTTCATCGCCGTCTTATCGTTCTCAAAGAAATCATCGATCGTCTCAGTCAAACGGAACTCAAAACTCAAACCCTTTCTCTCATCAAAACAATAACAATCAAATAACTTCACAATCATCGTCAATATCTACAACGAGTAATACTACAACTATAACACGTAGTAGATGGCAACAAATGTTAGTGGGGGCTGCTGCTAGTGCTAGCGCGGCTGGTGCCGCTGTTAGCGAGGAATCAATGAAAAGTTTAAAATACTGTTTACAATGGTTACGAGTACGTATAAAAATAATTCTGTTTTTTTTTTTTTAAACCGAAATTTATATGAAAAAAAAAACTAATTCATTTATTATTTTATTATTTTATTAGTATGCAACACAACATATTGACGCTCAAATATCGGTTCTAAGAAATTTTATCATGAGTCTGACTAGTCCTTCATCATCAAGAGCACTTATACCTTCGTCAGCAGCTTCTGCCACTCTTTCTTCAATTAAAAAAGAAGTCGTGGATACTCTTCGTAGGGTTATCGAAGTCGTGTCAAAATATGCAAGTGTATGTCTGCCGGACCATGCAAAAATGAATGTACGGTTTTTCATACTAGAATTACCAACAAGATGGGCATACATGAATCACAATGATCATTCTGCCTCACCATCACCAATGTCCTCTCCACAATTAGCTCCCGCCAATTCACATCCAATAAACCAAACTACCGATTATGCTCGTAGACTTTTAAGTTTAGCCTCTGAAAGTCGTGACATGCTTAATAGCGTGGCTGGAATTTTTAGCGAAACTGTTGTTAAGGCTGAAAGTTGGGTTGGGAAATTAAGATATGTTGGTATGACAGGCGGTGGTGCTAATGCAATGGGTCAAATCCATTTTGATGGTATACCACAATCATACAATAACAATAGTAATAACAATAATAGTCATCACCACTCCTCAAATTCATCTTCAAATTCTTCATCACCATCATCATCATCATCCAGTATACGTTCCCGTAGACCATCTAATTCTTCAAGGTATAACGGTCATCGTAAAACTTCACGTCCAATTCCCATACAACTTAACATAAGTAATGATGATGATGACGACAATGTTTCAGATTCATCAGAATCAGAGGTTGAAAATATGAGAATGGAAATGGATCAAAGACAAAGTCGTGCTTTCAAAGCTCAATCACATTCTAAAAGAAAAAAGGTTAGCGCCAAGAATGATGATGATAGAATGGTGGAGATATGATAACAAAAATATATAATTTTGCTATTATATATTTTTATAATACACACACACACACATACATTATTATTTATTTATATTTTCATTGTTTTATATTGTTTAAATAAATAAATAAATATATATATACATAAACGAGGTGGTAAATATTTGTTAATTTTTTTTTTGTTATTATAGTTTCTTTTTAATTATTTTTTTGGAAATAAAATAATGGGTTTTTTAATAAAAGAGTTTTTATATATTAATATATAGTATATATTTTTAATAATATTTATTATCAGTATATTAATTACACATTATATTATTATTTTATATTATTATATATTATTATTATTAAATTTTTACAAAATTGTATAAAGATCAAAATTTTTTAATTATAATAATAATCATAATAATAATAATAATTAATAACAACATCCTTTCATTTTGTAATTCTAATTTTTTATCATTTTATTTTTTGGTTTTTCCCAAATTTTTTCAATCTTTTCTTTTATTTCTTTGCTTTAATAATTAATACATATGAACTACATATGTTTCTCCTCTCCTTTCCCATCCTTTACTCCTTTCCGCTTGTTTTTTTTTGTTTACTTTTTTTTTTTGGAAAAAAAAAAATTCTAATTATTTAATTATATTTGTGAAATATTTAAAAAAAAATCCTAATAAAAAATCAAAAAATTAAAAAAAAAAAAAAACCACGTTTTGGTCTTTATTTTTTTAATAAATAACGTGATTTTTTACTTGAGATATTTTGTTTAGTTTTGAGTTTGAGTTTGTGAAGAAGTTTATTGGTTTCTACTTAAATATTAATGACAGTATTTTTTTTTTTTTCAATCAAATGTTGTTTCGGAAGATTCATTTGGACCATAAATAGATTCACACAATATTTTCGTTTTCTAATCAGATCAAAAAATGGTTAAGCTTTCTGATTCTTCACACCATAAACTGCTCGCTTAGATTCTTCTTGTATTGGCTTTTTGTCATGTGGTGTTATGCAATTTTATATTATTTATTAATTCGTGTGATTTTTTCCTTCTCTCGCATTTATTCTATCAAAAAAAAAAAAAAAAAAATTATTCAAGTCGATTGGGAATTACTTAAAAATGCACTCACTCACTCACTCGCTCGCAACTTTATTATTGTTTATTGTTTATTATTTATTTTATTTTATTTTATTTTATTTAATAACTATTTAAAAAATTTGAACATAAAACTAAAAAAATTTTTTTTAAAGAGTATAATTTAGATGATATGGCATTAATTGTCACTTGTATATTCGATATTATAAAGATCTGAATAAGGCTGGCGAGTGAAATGGTTTTTTATTATATAAAAATCATTATACAGTATTTCTTTTTCAACCTCATCGACGACAACGCCTCCCACTTCCATTGCACTAAACTCATGGTTTCCTCAGTCAATTGCACATCATATAAATTGTGATTCTCCAGACATAACTTCATGGTTGGTGCCGTCTTCCCATTCTGAATCTAATAACTACAAAGAAGAAGATGGTGATAATGAAAGCTTTATTAAAAGATAAAAAGGGCAAAAAAAAAAAAAAAGAAAACAAAAGAACAAAGTATGTAAATTTGAAAACATGGATGGTTTGTGCAAGATTGGTATATAATACGGTGGGTGGTAGAGAGAATTATAAGGAGGGACAGAATAAAGGTCCTTTAGAAATTTGTCCAAGATTAAAATTACAAAAGAATGGGAACTTTATGGATAAGGTCCATATGATGTTATAATCTATGCTCGTGAAAAAGTTATTCATAGAAATATGTAAAGGAACCAAAAAACAATTATATTTCATACACATGGTCGTGAGATTGTTGCTAGAGGCCACAACAATCATATAAGACACAAATATAACCATATCAGGCATCATAAAAAAGGCGAAATAAGAATTGTTGGCTAAATGTTGGAGGGGAAGTTCGTAGATATTCACTTTTGTCTTATAATAGACTATTATTAAATGTATGATATATAAATCGTATTTTTTGTTGGTGTCTAGCTAAAAAAAGAACATTATGAGTTGTACACATGCCATGTTTACAAGTGTAAAGCCGGAGAATATGCATGGAATCTGAAAGCCTACACTTTCCAAAACATATAGCAACTGTGAGTGGATGGATATATCGAAGAGAATAAATAAAAAGTGTAACAGTTGTGGACTCGGGATTTAAATGGCGTCCGGGGAATTTTCCCTCGGGCTTTGCAATTTGCATAATAATAATAATAATAATAATAATAATAATTAATAATAATAATAATAATAAATTTTATTATTATTGTTGTTATTATTATTATTATTATATTATTATCATCATCATTATTATTATCATCATCATTCGTTTTTCCGTAAATATTATTAAATTGTTCATGCTGTTTTTAAAAATTTCCTAATTGATTTTTATCCAATAGATTATTTCTCAATTTTTTCGCTGTATCACGAGGTAATTCAAAAAAGACGTCACACGAATAAAATTAAATTGATCTTCGGTCGGTCTTCCACCATTAGATCGTCCTCGCTTTCCACAATCAATTCACATTATTTTTCAATCATGCAAGAATCACTCATTCTTTTTTCATTAGATGTGTTCTTTACACTTTTCTAGAACGATATTTTGTAAATATCTTTTTTTTAATCAAAATACAATACTAATACGTTTGTTCTTTCATAAGAACGTTAAATGTAAAATTTTTCTCGGTGCTTTTTGATTGGTACTTTGAAATGTTGTTTACCTACTATATCCTATCATTCATGTAATTCAAATAAATAATTGTAATTAACCTAATAAAGGATGTACATATTAAGCGATATAAATAAAATTTAACAAAATGCACCTATGAAATTCGTGGTAACACTGATGAAAGTTAAAATTTAAAGCTTTTTTTTTAATTTATTCTTTCCTTTTATTTTTTTTTTATTTATTTTATATTTAATTAATACATTCATTCACTACCATTCCTTCTCTTTTCACCATCATTCATCTAACAATAAATTAATTCGTTCCTTTTATTTAATAACAAAAGCATTTGCATCAAAATATTCACTTATACATTATCTTCGGTCACGACTAAAAAAACAAATTTTTTAATGAATAAATATTATATAATATTTAAATTTTGAATTTGAAACATTTTTTAAAAAGAATTCAATTTTCATTACTTTCACACTCACTCACATATTATATTCTTCGTATATTTATAAACATTACAGACTAAATATTGTTTTGTCCCATATTATATTAATACATCCGGGCAGGATCCCCCCAACAACAACAACAGCAGCAGCAGCAACAACAACAACAATAAAAATTAACGAAAAGAATTCTAATCGATTAAAAAACTTTCCTTTATTTATTTATTAACAAAAAAAAAAAAAAAGAAATTTGGATAATTTGTATTTTATAATAATTTAAAATAATTTGTATTTTTAATATCATCATCATCATCATCATCAAAACAACAAAGTTGAAAAAATGACTCACACAACATCTGAAAACACATCAGTACAAGTGGCTCTTCGTATAAGACCTCTAACTGCTGAAGATATGGTAAATTTACCTTCACGATTTCAAAAAAACGTTTTATCCACCTCACGATTCGCACCAAATCAAGTAACGGTTTTGGGCGAAAAGAAACAATCATTCACATTTGATTATGTTTTTGGTGCTGACGCGTCTCAAAAAGATTTATATGATGTTGCTGTAAAAAACATGGTTGACAAATTTTTAGAAGGTAAATTAATTAATTGAGTTTTTATATTTATTTATATTAATTTTTGATAACAACAAAAAAAAAAAAAAAAAAAAAAAAGGTTTTTGGTTAACTTTATTTTCAATTTTTAGGATTTAATGTAACTGTTTTAGCATATGGTCAAACATCATCAGGTAAAACTCATACAATGGGCACAGCTGATGATTCCACTAAATCTTCTGAGGAAAAAGGCATAATTCCACGTGCTATAAGTACCCTTTTCTCATATATAAATTCTGCACAGTATAAAAATCGTAAATGTACAATGAAAGTATCTTTTGTTGAATTATACAACGAAGATCTTATTGATCTACTTTCCGAAGAAGAAGATCTGGAAAGCAAGCCACAATTAATGATCAGAGAGGATTCAAAAGGTAATATCATATGGAGTGGTTTACAAGAAATTAAAGTCACTAGCGTCGATGAAGTAATGGGTCATTTGGCTCGTGGATCATTGAACCGTCAAGTCAATTTCACCGATATGAATTCACAATCATCTCGATCACATGCCATCTTTTCTGTTACCCTTTCACAACAAAAAATGGTTTCATCATCATCATTTACTAATAATGCTCGTGATAGTCCATTACCAACATCTCCCACCAATTATTCGTCAACCTCCAGCAATCCACCATCAAGATCTGGTTCTAGAATGAGTTTCTCAAAAAATAATGAAAAAGGTGAATGGGTTTCAGTTACAAGTAAATTTCATTTTGTAGATTTGGCTGGTAGTGAAAGAGTATGTGTGGTTTTTTTTAAAAAAATTATATATTAAATTATTAAGAATTTTTTTTTTCCAATAAATAATATATATATATATATAATTATTATTATCACTATTAGCTTAAAAGAACTTCTGCAGTAGGAGATAGAGCAAAAGAGGGAATATCAATTAATTCTGGTTTGTTGGCATTAGGAAATGTTATTTCTGCTTTGGGTGACCCATCAAGAGCAAAAAACACAACACATGTTCCATATCGTGATTCAAAACTCACTCGTCTATTACAAGATTCATTAGGTGGCAATGCTCAAACCTTAATGATTGCTTGTGCTACTCCAGCTGAATATAATATCAGCGAGACAATAAACACTCTTAAATACGCTAATCGTGCTAGGAACATAAAAAATGTTGCCACTGTTAATCAGGAAGAAGCTGGCTGGCATGATTTGGAGCATTTACAGCATTTAGTTTTAAAACTTAGAAATGAAATAAAGGCTTTGAAACAATCTGTTAGCATTTCTTCTAACAATCCTGGTTCTGGCAGAAATACTCCTATTCTACAACCTGATGGCAGAGATGACTCTCCACCCACTCCATTAACCATATCGACTACCAATTTACACAACAAAGACAAAGATATTGAAGCTCTCGAAATACAAATATCAGAATTACAACGTTCATATGCTGAACTCTCTCAAAAACATGCAAAAACCACAGCTGAATTATACACATATCAAGATAACCTTGAAAACTCCGGTTATTCCTCAAATGGTTTAACTCCTATAATAGAAGAAGAAGCTATTTATGCTAACATTAATAACAACGGCGACAATAATAAATTGTTTGTCAATTTTCAAGAAACCGTAGGTCCTGTGATTAAAGAATATGAAAAATCAATCGCTGATCTTGAAAGTAAACTTTCTTTGACTCGTGCTGCTTTGTCCACTTCAGAAAAACTAGTTCAAGAACATTCAATAAAACTTGCTGAAGTTGAAGATTTAAATCATAAAAATAAAAACATGATAACAGATTTGAAAAATAAAATATTTAAACTTCATGAACGTGAGGAAACTACTGAAAATTATATTAAAGATCTAGAGGCTAAGGTTAATTCTCAAGATATCGAACAGAAAAAAGATCAAGAAGTCATAACTGAATTAAAACATAAGGTTTATGAACTTCAATCAAACGCTGAAGATAGTGAAGGCATCATCCGAAAATTAGAAGCCAAATTGCTCAAAACTGAACAAAAATCTAATAATGCAAATGTGACTCTTTCACAACTCGAACAATTTTTACAAGAGAAAGAAGAAGCTTATGTAAGTTTAGAAGGAAGACTCAACCAAGAAAAATCCAATGACGAAAAAGATACTAAATTATTGTTGACTGAGATTGAAGATCGTGATAAGAGAATCGCTGAACTTGAGAAAAAAGTTGACGAACTTGTAAATAATATTAGTCAATTAAAACACTTGAAATCTGACAGCTCCTCTTCTTCATCTTCACCTTCATCATCCCTTTTCTCATCGTCTGACATCGACACTCCTTTATCCACATCATCCAGTTTGAACACTTCAATATCAACAAGCGACTATTCAAGTGTCTCAGAACTTGAATCTAAATTATATGAACTTCAAAAAACTCACGAAGATACTGTTTTGGAATTCCAAGAAATAAAAGATAAATATCAAGGTTGCCTTGAAGAATTAAGTGAACTTTATACTCAATTGGCTGACGCTAAAATGTTGCATCTTAATATAGTTGAAACCACTCCTTCAACTCCAATGACCGATACTTTTGACGAATCAAGTAATCCCAATTCTTTGTCACCTTACACACATGGCACACATAGAAAAGCAAGGTCTTTATCTACTGAAATTAAAGGTGCCGAGAAAAAAGAACTTACTAGTATGGCTATGATTCAAAAACTTCAAATTGAACTTAGGCAATTGGAATTACTCCATGAGGATAAGGCAAAAGGTTTAGATGCTGTTAGACAAGAATTTGCTCGTCTCGAAATTAATCATTTAGCTACTATTGAAATAATAGAGGAGCTTCGAGAAGAAATTAAAAGACGTGATGCTTTAGCGCAATTGGAAGTTATGTCAGTTATGACTTCTGAATATGCTTATACTGATGGTGGCTTTTCTGCTGCTACAAGTGAAATAGATCAAATTGATATCGTACATCGTCTTAGAGACGATGTTGAACAACTTAAAGAAGAACAAAGAAAAACGCTTGATTTGCTTTCAAAGAATGATAATAAAGAAGAAATCAACAATGATGAAATTCTCAAAATTGAATCTACCATTCTTCAACTTAAATCAGAAATGAATCAGTTTATTGAGGAGCGTGATCAGAAATTTGATAAAGTTAACGATGAGGTCATCAATAAATTAAAATCAAAAATAAAAGAGTACGATGAACAACTTATCCAAGCTCAAGAATCCCAACGACAAATTCAAGTTAATCAAGTAATTGCTAACCTTGAGGAAATCGACAAAACCACCACTACCGTCACACCTGAATCTGAACAAGCATCTGAGTTGCGTCAACAAGTTGAAAGAATTCAAAATGAGATCGAGGCTAAAAGTCATACTATAGCTGCATTATTGTTTCCTTCAGTTGAAAACCAAAACACTATTAGGCGATTAGAGGATGAACTCCAAGAATCTAGAGATGTTCTTCGTCTTGCGATCGAAGAGAGAAATAATAGGTTAGAAACAATTTCTGAAGATGATGACGATGAATATGAAATTGGTGACAAGCATGTTAAAGAGTTAGAAAGCCGAGTAAAAGATCTTGAATTTCAATTGACTAAAGCCAAAGAAGCACAACATGTTCCTACTAGAAGAAGTTCAATAGCAGATAATATGAATCAAACATACGATACAATAGAAGTTCTTGTACGAAAACTGAACGAATTACAACATGAATTGTCGGGTGAAAAATCTAACCTAGATGATCATGAAACTGAACTTTTTACTAATCTTCGAAAACAAGTTGACATGCTCAAAACAGAAATTGTTCAAAAATATGAATTGATTGATACATTAAAAAGAGATCTCGCTGATAAGTCAACAATACAACAAAGATTGAGAGAAAAAGAATCTGAAGCATTGGCCTTCAGAACTAAATTAATGGAGGTTCATAAACATGAAGAGGTATTGGAGAATGAAATAAGAGAACTTAAAGCAAGATTATACCAATTGGAAAATGGTGAAGATGTTAACAAAGTTCTTCATGCTGAATTGGAGACCTTGAGAAAAGAACTTAAGGAAGTCCATGGTCGTGAAGTTGTTGCTTTAGAGAGGCTTCGTGTTCTGAAGGCAAAGATGGGCACAGATAACGAGGAATCACATTTACAAGAACAATTAGAACATTTGCGATCTGTTGAGATAGCACAACGTGAACGCATCTTAGTGTTGGAGGGAATACTTGCAGAACAGGGTGGTAAGGTTGATGAAGATCTTATCAAGTTAAGAACCGATTTAGCCTTCGCAAAAGATTCTGAAATTACATATAAGAAAACAATTGAAAGCTTGGAAAATAAATTGAAGAAAGCTGAGGATAGGTCTCAAGTTGCACTTTTGAAACGTGAGATTAGCGTAATTAAAAACAAAGAAATTGAACAATTAGCTAAAATCCAAGAACTTGAACTTAAATCAAGTCAACAAACCTCCAAAGATGGCCAACGAGTTAAAGAGTTAAATGAAGAAATTGAAAAATTGCGTGCTAACGAAAGAGAACAACGTAAGCAAATGGAGACTCTTGAAATCCGTTTGGAATTGGTTCAAGATGAAGATCCCAATATTTCTTCATTGCGTGACCAAATTTCATCCTTAAAAGCCTCCGAAACAGATCTAAAAAGAAATGTTCAAGAACTTGAATCCAAATTGCTTTCTTCACAAAAAGAAGCCAATATTTTTGAAACTGTTAAAGAGGAGGTCAAACTTTTAAAAGAAATCGAAACTCAACAAAAATCTACAATTGAACAATTACAATCACAACTACGTAAAGTTAGGAATACCAAAGAAGCAGCAATAAAAGAATTACAAACTATGAAAGGAGGTTTCAGTCTTCAAAAAGAACTTGTGATTTCCCAAGAGGAAGAGCTAAAAGTTCTGAGACAAGAGTTAGCGATAACAAAAGAAAAAAACAAAACTTCTTTGGATGAATTTGAAAGTCTTTCAAAATCGTTAAATGAAATCGAAAAACAACGTGATGATTTACAAAAGAAGGTAAAAGTTTTGGAAATTGAAATTGAGACATACAAAATTGCAGGCTCGGGTGGTGATAGTAACATCAAAGCCTTACGTGAAGAATTATCCAATACTAAACTTGAAATGGTTGCACAAAATGAAATTCTTGCTGAACTTGGTTCACAATTAATAGAAATTGAAAAATCACGTGTCCAAAATGACAAACATGTTGAAGAATTAAAGAAAACCCTTAAAGAGAAAGAGGCTAGTCAAAAAGATGCAATAAAATCATTAGAGAATACATTGGTAACTTTAGAGACAGAACTCAGTAAATATAAAAACTCATCAAATGTAAATAAAGAAAATATCACAAATATTGAAGGAAAGCTTTCAATTGTGAAGGAGCAGCTTCAGTACGCAAAAGATTTGGATGAAAAACGTTCCACGATGATCAATGATTTGGAAAGCAAACTAGTGAAAGCTGTTGATGCCTTAAAAGAAAAAGATAATGATATTGTTAATCAGGATAATATGCTTGCTGAATTGGAAAAAATAATACTTGCAACGCAAACAGAATTATCTTCTTCCAGATCGTCTGAAATCGAAGAATCCGAAAGAATCAAACAACTCCAGACCAAATTAAGTGAACTTACTTTCAAGTTATCAAATCATTCTTCTTCAGCTGAGATTGAGCTCATAAAAAATGAACTTTCGAAATCAAAAACAAATGAAGCTGAACAAAACCAAATAGTCAAAGAGTTAGAAATGAAATTAAAAGAGGCACAAAGTCTTCGTAACGAAGAGATTTCTAAACTCAAAGATGCAAATAAAGAAATAGACGAACTTCAAGAGAAATGTACCAATTTACAAAATAAACTCGAAGATGCCATTCATGATTCTTTAATTCAAAGTTATGAAAATATTGACGATTCTGCGGTTGAAGATCTTGCAAATCAACTTAAAAAAGCACATGCCCAAGTTGTAGAAAATAGAGATCGTGTAGTAGAATTAGAAAAATCCACAAAACTACTTGAATCCGAAAAATCTGAACAAATTGAAAGAAATGAAAATCTTGAACAACACGTAGAACAACTTCAAAAAGATATTGAAAATTTGGCCGAAGAATTTGCTGAAGTTGCTAACAAATTTAATGATACTGATGAATTATCAAAACAACAAAAGAGTCGTATTGTTGAATTAGAAATAGCTCTTGAAGAAGCCAAGAAAAAACCAACCGATAATCATAATTCAGCATTGACAAATCCTGCATTAGCTAAACTGGCATCAGCTAATGAACTTTTGCGTCAAACTAATGAAAATCTCAATTTGAAGACAGCTGAAGCCGGAGAACAAATCAAAGCATTAAAGGAAAAGATAAAAACATTGGAAAAAGAAGTTATGAACGATGGTGAAAATAACAAATTAAGAGAAAAAATAAAGGAACTTCAATCAGAAAGGGATGAATTGGAAGAAGCCAATGAAAATTATTTTGAAGAACGTAGTAAGCTAGACCTCAAAGTAGAATCATTGCTTGAACAATTACGTTTAGTTGGACTTGGCGGAAATCATGCAGCAACTCAAATAACGCAATTAAATGAGCAAGTTATAAATCTTGAAAAAGAACTTTCTATTCTGGAACAAAAATCATCTCTTGAATCTAATGAAATGGAAAGTGAAATTACACGATTATTGGAAATAAATGAACAACTTGAGCATGATGTTAAAGATTTGGGCATAGATTTATCGAATCCACGTAGCAGCATTAGCGATACAAATTCACATTCAGGTGCTGAAGATTCAGCCAAAAACAAAATTATTAAACAAGAAGTTTTAATTGCGCATCAAAATAATATTATTAAAACCCTTAAAGAAAGAATCACAGACTTGGAAAGAAATGATAATGATAACGCGCTTTCCCGTATGTCAACAACATCTTCTACTTCATCAGAATTCAAAAAGAACATTCGCACTAAACCTACACCGCCACCAGTACCGCCACCGAATCATCCACCACCACCACCTCCTTCTAACGCTTCAAATCCTAGCTCTCAACCTCCTACACCTGGTCTCCCAATTGGACATTCATCAAGAGCACGTTCAAGAAGAGGATCAGATGCAAATACAACAGCAGCTGAACTCGTATCAGAAATTCAGAAATTACACAAAAAGATTGCAAAACTTGAAGGTGAAGGCTTACAAAACAGAAACCTTGTTGAATCTTTGGAAACTGCACTCAAAGATGAAGAAACAGAACTTCGTGTTGCTAAGCAACAATTATCGATATTACAACGTGAAAAAAGTGATCATATGGGTGAAATCAGAAAGCTGAGAACAGAATTAGATGATGCACAATTAAAAGTAGAAGAGGCCAAATCTACAGTGCAAGAAGAGAAGAAGGTTATGGAGACAGTATTAGAGGAGGAACGAAAAGCCAAAGAAAGAGCAGAAAAGGCAAGATTAGCTTTAGAGAGTCGAATGGAACAACTCATTGCAAAAAGAAACAAATTTATGTGTTTCTAAAAGTATTTTCAACATTAATTTAATTATTTATCAATACAATTTATTTTAATTCTTCACGAACATTTGGACAAATTCTTTTTTTTTTTTGTTAGCTATATTTCCTGCATACATCTTTCATAATATTAATGTGTAAATTATTTCATCAAAAAAACTCTTGCATTTTTTTTATTATAATAATATATATATATTAATTTATATTTAATTTAATTTAATTTAATTATTTTCATTCCATCCAAAAAAAATCGATTAGAATATCTTTATTTATATATATATATATTGTATTTTTGGGAGGTCCATTTTTTTTATAATAATTATTGGGTGTTTATTTTTTTCATTTTATTTATTTATTTAATATTATATATTTGTGATGGCATAAAATTACGGAAAATTTATAAAAAAATTTACAATTTCATTTTTAAATTGTTATCTACCATTGTTGGCTTGTCCTAGTTACCGGATACCTGATGAAAATTATTTTTATATGATTACATTAACAATTTATTCTGATCTATTAATTCCTAATGAAAATAATTCGTTAAATTTATTTCAATTAATCGAATCAATAATTTTAACATCACAAAGGTTTAAAAGATTATTACTATTAATTAGTTATATATAAAAAAATAAATAAATCAAATTACAACAATAAATAAAAGTTTTTTTTTCTAAAAAAAAAAATTATTAACTTCCGATAGATAAATCATTAAGAGCAACACAAACTGCAGCTTTATGATGTCCATTATATTGTCTTATTGTTTCTCCCTTTTGTAATTCCCATAGACGAGCTACATGATCAGATGATGCTAAAGAAAAAATTTTATTAACAATCAATTTAAACAAATTTATATATAAATATAAAAGTAGATATATATACCAGTAACTAGATACGCAGAATCGGCAGAGAATGCACAATCCCAAACCCATCTTTGATGACCTTTTAATTCCTTATCCAATTTAAAATCATGATTTACAGTTGACCATATTTTAACAGTTGTATCTGCAGAACAAGTTGCCAAATGTCTAGAAGGATAATAATTTAGAAAACAAATTAATATAACTCATCAAATCAAATGATTTAATAAAAATACAAAAAAAAAAAATAATGATAATTTCATACTTAACATCAGGACTTAACAAACATCGAGTTATATATTTTTTGTGAGCAGAGAATTTAGTGACCGGTTGTAGATTTGTAGAATCTCTAGGATTTGACATTTTCCATACATAACAATTGCCCTTTTTAACCACAAAAAAAAAGTTTTTTCTATAATAGTATATAATAAGAGCGTCAAAAGTAAAGAAAAGAAGAAAAATTATACTTTGTTATTGGCTGCAACAAACATAGAACCATCTATTGCAACAGTAACAGAACGTAGAGGGACATCTTCTTCAGGTTCCTATTGTAATAATAACTGAATTTGATGATGATTTTCATAATGTTTCAATAAATATAAAGATATGTTATTTGAATCTACCTACTAATTGATGAGTACAACTATTTTCGCCCAAATCCCAGACCCTGATGCTTCCTTTTTGATCACAAGAAAATAATTCACCTTGATTTGGATGAATAGCTACATCGTTCACAGGAGCTTTATGATCGTAATTACGTTGAACTGATGTGGCTCTTGATTAATTTACAAATGTAAAATAAAAATTTAATTAATTAATGAAATTTAATTGAATATTTATTTTTTATTCACCTTGTATCCCATATTTTTAAAGTTCCATCTTCACTCCCTGAAACCATCCATTTCCCCTCACAATGAAATCCAACAGCTGTCACATTCCCCGTGTGGCCTTCAAATGTAGCAACCTGACAAACAAAACAATTAGGCTATTTGATTTTTCTTTAAACATAAATTGTTAATTAATTCAATTGATCAATTACCGGATTTGGGTTTGTGCTAACAATATCATACAAACGAATATGTTGATTTCCTGGAATTGGTAAATAATTATAATTATTATTATTACCATTAAAAAATAAATATCTTATCAAATTTATTGCTAAATTACCTGCTGCCGCAAGATATCTTTTATCAGGAGATATACATAACCTATTTACTTGCTAAATAAAGAATTAAAATAAAGATTAAAATAAATTTAAGTTAAAGTTTCGTTTTAGCAAATAACCTACAGAGTCAGGGTGTTGTATCGTTCTTGAACAAATGCCACTTAATGCTTCCCAAAAACGGATAGTATGGTCATAACCAGCAGTCACCAAAATTACAGAGTGCGAATCAGGAGATTGTTGATATTGTGGTTGTTGTGGTGCATAATATTGTTGCTGTGGATTTTGGTGATTATTGTAATGTTGTCTTGAATAATCTGCTCGTCTCATAATGTTGGCTGTTATATATATATATTATTATATTGATGAAAGATCATCTATAATTAATTTTTAAATCAATAATAAATAAAAAAGCATCGTGTAACAAACATAATACTCGAGATTTCATAATAGTAACAATCAAAAAGTGTACCGAAAGTACTTTCTAACACTTACAAGTTTGAACCTAAACCAAAATACAAAAACCATACCAAAAGTCAAACAATGAATACATTTGACTAAAAATCAATTATTTTATTTGAATTTTTCAATTAATTATCAAAAATTATTAAAAAATATCGAATTTTATAATTAATCCTATATAGCTTTTTTGTGATTTTTTCTTATTAATCTTATTATTTAGTTTTAATCATAATCATAACAATTATCTATATCATTTGTTTCAGTTTTATTTTCACAATGTCCATAATCATTTGTATCTCTACAAGTTACGTGTTAATTTTGGTATTAATATTAGTCACTTCTGTATCAAGAAGTCTTCCTTAAATTGTTTTATTATTAGGTGGTGTTAAGTTGTCTAAGTAACTCAATAAAATATAACATTAAAAAGTATATCACAAATTACAAATGTCCTGATTAATGCTCTATTAATATTATCATTCTTTTCCGTGGTTAATGTCATACTAGATGTTGGAATCGTCTAAAAAATACTTAGTCGACTACTAGTCGGTCAAAATTGCTTTAGTTGATTAAATTTTTTTTTTTAATTTGCAAATTACGAATTCATTTCCATTTGAATCTTCCACTTTTTCAAAATACTTCCGCACAAAATCATGTGTTACGATTCGTTTTTTTAAAGGTCTTCTGGAACCACCGCTTAAATCATTGGAACTTGAAGCCAATGAACTATTGGACCTTGTATCGGAAGTGTTTATTCGTTCACATGTAAAATTATCATCAACAACACCACCACTATTGTCGTCATCATCATATTGATGTTATTGATACTCTCCTGCTTAGAAATTTTCCATTTTGAATGATAAAACACAAATCGTAATTGGTCAGACAATAATAATATTAGAATAGTGTTAGTATTAGTATTAGTAGTATTAGTAGTCAACTATTAGTTGTTCAAAAAAAGTTTAGTCGACTATTTTAAAGTATTAAGGTTCATACTAACATTTCAATTTTTTCCAATCAATATCTGTTGTAAATTCATTTATTAATTAATGACATGTTTGAAGATTTATGACGAAGCATCTAAATTGGCAATTTATAACATCACATTGTGGAATATCCAATTTGTAGTAGATTTATGAGTTATGTAAACATGCAGGCTAATAATCTGCATACATAATTTCTAAATTTAGTAATAGATTTTCCGCGTTACCTTTTGGTTATAGAAATAAAATCATCAATTTAGTAGTAAACGACTTAGCCGGTTAAGGATTCTTAAACAGCTAACATCACTAATTAGAAAGTACTAAAGTTTTGAAAAACTTCAATAAATCCTAGAATTAATATTGAGTTAGAAAGAAATATTTGATCTTGAAAAGAAATAATAATAATTGTATAATATAGCTTTTTTGCTAGTGATTTCTTTGTTTCACACTTTGCCAAAAATTCAAAACTTGAACATCTAATGTTACTAATAATATTTTTAAAATTCTTTATAATATTTTCCTTAATAAAAAATTTATTTGCTTTAACTAAAATTAGTGTAACAATGGATGTTTCTTCAAAGTAAGGTATATTTTTATGTCACATAAACACAATTTTTATTATTTTTATTGGAGTCCTCTGGCCAAAATTGAGGTTTTTGCATAATGTAAATCCATATGGTGATTATAATTGATAAGATATCAGACCTTGTTCACTTTGTATAAAATGAGTAGGTAACAAAGAGATTTATTAAGTTTTATATTATGTGACCCTGATCTGCAAATTGTGTTTGAAATTTGGCTGCATGCACCTGCAATTATGGCATTATGGATTACTGGCCAAAAATCTTACAGAAATCAAAAAAAATTTTACAGTGAACAACTGTAAATAGACATAATTGTCAAATCATCACAACCACATTTACTATCACTATATTTGCTCCCCGAAGTTGTCAGGATGATCAGGATTCATGGAAGGCCATGTAACCAACTGAGGTAGGATTGGGCGTGCCATTTCACAACTGGTGGGCATAACATAGACACGCGTTATTAGCTGGGGCGTGTTGTATTATTAATATTTATTATTGATAATAATTACTATTAATTTTTTATAGTAAATTAAATTTGTACAATGTATATACGCCATCTTCGAACTATTAAATAATTTTTACATGCTATAAATACTCTAAATAAAAAAATTACTTTGTAATATAATAATACACTTGATAATAAAATAAATGTCCGACTTATCGAGTTTACCTATGTAGCGATTGTTTCGTTGACCAAATAACGTGAATAATGGTATACTTATTTTATTAGGCGCGGTTAAGTTGTAAAATTTTCGCGACTATAATAATTAATAATAATAATAATTAATAATAATAATAATAATAATAGTAGTAATAATAGTAATAATAATTAATAATAATAATAAATAAACACTCGGAACACATGTAACACGAAAATCGTATGCTAAAACAGAAAAAATTATTTTTAAAAAAATTTAGAACACAATGGATTTAGCAAAAAATCTCATTCAACTTTCTTCAAATTCTTCAAATACCAAGGAAGAAGATTATCTAATTAATCAAATTAATGAATACATTAAATTATATGAAAGAATAGAAGAAAGAGGAATAGAACTCAACAATCAAATTAATTCTTACCACGAAAAAATCCAACAAAGTAAATAATTGAAATTTCATTAATTTTAGATCTTTTTTTAACATTCATGCTAATTATTATTATTATTATTTAATAAATTATTTTAGCGGGTGTGATTGCACCAAAAATTAAAGAAGCTCTTAAATCCTTATATGCTGACATGATAGACCAGACAGTCTGCGAAGAAGAGTAAATATTGATTGTTTTATTTTATCTTTATCTTTCTTTATTATAATTACTATAAATATTACACTATATATATATAAACTCAAAGAATCACCAAGATAATTCTAAGCGACTGTGAAAAACTGTTATCAATGAAGCCCCATCATGACAACGAATATGATCGAACGACGGGTAAAATTAATTTACAATTACTTTTTTACCATAAATGATTTTAATTTATTCATTCACTTGCCCGCTTTGCTCATTAATTATAGGTAACTTGATTATAAAAGATGATAACATTAATAATATTAATACTAATAATAATAACAACAATGATAACAATAATAATAATCAGAAAAAAAAAAGAAAAGAACAACAAGAAATAGTAACTTTACCATCACCACCACCTAAAAAGTTAAAGAAACCAGCGTCAGTATTAATATCAATCAATTGATTAATTTATGAAAGCATTTTTCAAAATTTCATTTATAATTAATCAATAGGAAAAATTCTAAACTTAATAGCATCATTAAAAATGGAACTATAGTAAGAAAATCTATTTAATCAGAAGATTATATAAAAAAGTTAATTATATTATGCAAAATTTTAATGGTAATAATAATAATAATAATAATAATAATAATAATAATAATCAGGTTGCAGCCAAGCAACCAGTGACCAAATCAGCAGAACAAAACTGGATTTTGGCAACTGTAGTCGGATATAAACCTGAGGTTAAAGCGTAAATGTCTTTCTTTATTATTATTATTATTATTATCATCGTTCATTAATTCATTTTTTTTTGATCATTATCAAAGTTACGAGGTAGAAGATGCAGACCAATTTGAGGCATCCAATAGGTAATAAAATAATTTTTTTTCATTTTCATTTATTATTCTTCTTATTAGATAAATTCATCTTTAGCACATATTATATATGCTGTTTTAGACTTTTTACTGTACCAAATAAGCATGTTCTTCCAATTGCAAATAGAGGAGAAATTAAAATTAATGAATTTCCAAAAGATCATCCAGTCCTTGCATTGTACACAGAAACAACATGTTTTTACAAAGCAGTTGTTGTCCTTCCGCCTAGTAAGATTACACCATCCAAAAAGGACTGTTATTTACTCGAGTTTGAAGATGATGGACACGCTCATAGATATGTAGAATCTCAATATGTACTTGATATTCCAAAAGGTAATTATTATGATTATTATTAAGGATCATTGTCATTTGCTACTATTATTGTGTCTATTAATGTAACTTTATTCTTTTTTTGTTAACATTACGATTATTCTTTATTATTTTAAAAAATTTAGTTTAAATTCAAAATTTCTTTTCCAAAAGACAAAAGATTTGTATCAATATCAAGGGTTTTTGGTGTTATAGTGAACAAATGATATATATACTTTTTAGAAGTTATGGATTTGAAAAGTAATAACACAACCTAAATTAATATAGACCTGTTGAAAAAAATACCTTGAATTCAATTTATACATCCTTTTTTTTAATATATTAATGTTTTTTATTATTATCAACTTAAATAATTTTTCTAAACAATAATAAATTTTTTACATAATGATAAAAATAAATCCAATTAATTTATATATTAGTTGTGAATAGATTATTATACTACCACATATTTATTTTTGATTCCTTTTTTCATTTTAATTTTTTCATTTTAATTTTTTCATTTTAATTTTTTCATTTCAATTTTTTCATTTCATTAATTCTCTCTTCATTATTTCTTTCAACTTCAGGATTTCCTATGTATAATTTTATCAAGATAATTAAATGACATACTAATAACAATAAAGATGATTCGTTTGTTGATGGATAAACATTCCAACAATATTCAATTAATAATAATAATAACAACCTACAAATGGAATACAAATAAAAACATTAGTATTATCATTATTA